ATAATTTGAAATTATAGCTAAAAGTCTTATCAGATGTACCTGAAAAATTTTTTTAAGCAATTAGAAACTATGAAAAATTAATAATCTTCAAATCATTCACAGTGACAGATAAACAAATAAACCTACATTGTTTTTAATTCATCTCTAAATAAAATGGTGACCGTTAGCTACTAGTTTCATGTGATTTCTAATAAATGGCAGGTGTCATCTACTAAAAAACTGCTGAGTTTAGATTTTATCTATTTACCATTCTGTCCTTAGTAGGATATTTTAACATTGGAGAATTCCTAGAATTTTTCGGATTTCATGATTTTTAATTATTATTCACTATTATTATTTTTTGATGTGATGATGATTTACAAAAAAGGAAATAATTAGGGTGTTTTTCTTTTACAAAATATGAGAATATCGCCCATGATATTAGAATTAAAAAAAAAATTACATTTTTATTTAAAAAAACATATATGTATACAATTTTATTTTATCCAAATAGGTTTTTTTTGAACAATGCTTCTAATTAGTAATTTAATTAGTAATATGTATATTTGTAATTCAAATTTAGTAATATGTAATTCAAAGTATCTTGCAGAAAGATATTAGTTTTAGAGAGGTTTGTCGCAGAAAGCCCAAACAAATTCTGCCACAGAGGTGCAAAGCAAAAAAATAGACATTTATAGAAATTCCTAGAAACTACTTTTATTGTTAGTTTAGTTAAGAGACAAAGTTCAAACAATGAAATTTTTGAATTTGACTGATAAAAATCTCTATCAGTCTAGAGTCTATCAGTGAACGCATTGAGAATGTTTGCTTAACCAGACATTTTAGAATGAAAATTATGTATGATAACTAGACCTTCATCATGCCCTTAAGTAGAATGACTAATATTTAATCTAGTTATTAGGAATAGCAGGAAATTTCTCAATTGGTTAATAAAATATTCATACCGTGAAATAGGAATCACAAAAAAAGATATAACCCTGAATAACTTTTATTCTAATGATCGGATTTTCACATATTAAGTCTCAATCTTAATCGGTGACTTCAAATAAACTAATTTGTGGTAACTATTGATTAAGTTATAAAGTCAGACACAAAAACTTTCTTTTTCTGGTTAAACATATAATTTTTTTTACATATTTAGATCCTCAAAATAGAATTAGTACACAAAGTTTTTAAAAAATTGGATCTTAAATTTTGGGGCTGGGAAGCTATACATATTTGGTGATAGTCCCAAAAAGTATCCAAGCAATGTCGCCTCCAGAAACAGAGTGATGTCTAAGCAATTCAATTTTAAAATTATGACTTCAAGACAATATATCAGATACTGAGAAATTTTCATACTTATGAAAATTTTAACTATGTTTTTGACAGCTTTCTCCATTTGTCCAGCATCTCCATACTCTTTGTATGAGATGCTGAATTTGAAACATCAATACCGTGTCAGACAATGATTATTGATACACAAGAGTTTATTTCTGGAAAATGTAATGATTCTTTTTATAAAACTTATATTTTCATTAAGTTATATTCTTATAAGTTATATATTCATATAAGTTATGTATTTCAAAATTATTAAGTTACTTAATAATTTTGAAACGCATACAGTCGAACCTCGATTTCACGAAGAAGAAAAAAAAATTCTCTTCAAATTTCCTATACACTCAATGTTAAAAAAAAATTGATTTCACGAATTTTTTTCTTCTAATCCCTCGATAACTTGAATTTTTTTTCCATAAATAGTGTAGAATTTTTTTTCTAAAATTAAAAAAGTATTCCAAGAAAATAAAAAATTTTAAGAATGGCTGACAAGGCATGGAATGATGTGTCTTCCTTTATGGTAATGAATGGCTTCAAATCTGGATTCATTAACGATCACAAAAGTAGTCAAACAATCAATATCGTTAATTCTGCTGAAAACTACACCGAAAATTATTGGAACAGATTGACCGGACTCATGAAGCTTGATGACAAGGAATTTCATGATTTTGTAAACGTAGATGATGCAGTAACAGTGATGCAGTCAGTGGGATGGCAATGATATCATCGCTCAAACAAAAGCTTCTAGTGAACTATCACAGAAGAAGAGGATGAGGAAATCAAAGATTTACCGCTCAATGTTACTAACAAACAAGCACTTTCTGCGGTGGACACTGTAAGGAGATTTATTGAGAGGCAGCCGAATATGTCAGAGGAGACATTTAAAGCTATAGTCCACTAAGAAAGTGTTATAGACAAACTTACTTACACATCTCTAAAACAAACAACAATTGAAAAGTGTAAAAGGTGTAAAAAGTGTTTTTAGAATAAATATGGAATAGTAAATAAGGTATGTAAAGAGCATTTTTCTTTATTCTACCATCGATAACATGCGATTTTCGATATCTCGAATTTTTTCTCCTCTCCCTTCAAGTATGACTGTATTATAGAACGCGCAGTGATGAACTGTGCTCAGTAATTGCCTCAATTATTACCCCCACCCCTAACAGTACGCTGATTGCGCTTCTAGTTGGTTGCACTTCTAGGTAGGACTCGCTTCCAATTGACCGGGGTAATTTATAAAAATCAAACACTATCTTGGCCATAATCTTCTACCTGGCCAAGAAATATATCGAAATATATTATGCCAAGTTATTAAATTTGAGATAGCAATCATAATTAGATTTACAACTAGAATATAATGCATTTACTCATAGTATTGCATTTTTATTATCTTAATGGGTAATTGAATTTTACAAATGTGCGTAATCATAAATTTTGGAATAAAAGAATGGGTGAACTTATCCATTTGCGAACGTTGCGTTATTCTCTTTTTAACTTTGATTTATTGTGAATAAAAAGTTTTGATTAAAACACATTTAAATGCATTATTGAGTATAAGTACTGTACTCAGTGTTTTGTCGTTAAAATTGGCAAACAGTTTCAATCATGAGATTGAAACTGATTGAGAATAACTACAATAATAACCCATATAACTACAGAGTACAGCTTATATTAATCCACTGATCTACTCAATTATCAACTTACTAGATAGATAGAATAAAGATAGATTTTTTTAGTTAAATAGTATTAAGTTACATTATAAAAAAAATTATAGCAGATGATTTCTTAACAATTAAGTCTTTCCTGAAATTTGGCAGAAATTTTAATTGATTATTGATCAGAGTCAAGTTTACGGGAAAATCCAGAATCGAAGTTATTCTGTGCATATTTTTTAAAAATAATAAGCGGAAGTTTGGTTAATATAGATTAGTTTAAAAATTCACTAAAATTAAAGTTTTCCAATTTAATTATAATTTGGTACTGCACCCAGAACTTTTAATTTTTAACCAACTTAAGACAACAAGTGGGCATTAAATACTTTAAAAAAAAACTTTTTAACCAATATTCTTGAAAAAATTGCATCCTTCTAATTAAAATTTAGACCTTTGAAAGCCCCTTGTCATCTCCGCTATCACCGTATAGAACTGTTAGAAACTGATTAATATGTTATTCCAAATCTATGCATACATGTGTTTACTATTGATATTGTATCAATTATTGAATGAATCAACTTAAAATCAAAATAAAAAAAAGCAGATGCATAGCCACATTCTATCAGATGCTTGTTTTTATAAAACTTGGCTTTTTTAATATATAGTATTTTATTCAAATGTCTTTATTAAATTAAGTGTAAGTTAGCCAATGACATGAAAAGAAACATCTTATTTTATTATTAAAAGGAGTGATATCAAATCAAAATAGCAAAGAATCATGAATGAAATGTACGCTATGCTTGTAAGGCAAGTTGCTTGTAAGTTTACAACATTTAGACATTAATCGCTCTATTTAAATTTTTTTTTCATTGTCACCAAATATTTCGTTACAAATAATTAATTTAAATTTTTCTCAGCTTCTACTTAATAAAATAAATTAATGCTTGAGATTTCACAATAGAAAAATATGTGGATTATTATGGTATAAAAAATGATGGCTCCTAATAAAAAAAATTTCGTCCATAATAATAAATAATTATTAAAAATAATTTTTTGCAGGAAATTGTCTTTGGGTAAACAAGTTTCATGAGTGGGTAAAAACTTTTTTAATTGCGCAATTAGTTTTAAAAATATGACTGTATCTGTGGTTTCATGGAGACTACTGGATTTTGTCTCAGTTTTTCCTGGTTTTTGTACATTTCTAAAAATTCCCTAAAATTAAGTAAGTTTCCTTAAAAAAAAAAAGTCTCTATTGAAATAGAATTTTTACACAAATTTATTGCTTGCTTGAATATTTAAATAAGTATTACTAATACATACTAAAGCAAGCCTCATTTGTAGTAATCAGTTAAAAGTTTTTTGTTTTGTTTTTTGTTTAAAAAATTTTCAGTTTATTTTTATTGAGAACCGTCTTCTAAAATTATTAAAAAATCTAACTATCAGTTATAAACTACCTGTCTATTACTTTTTAAAAGTATGAGTTAATATAATAAAACACATTTCAAATTTAAGTTTATTTAACGTCAATCGTACATGAAAAATGTTGTAGAACATTTATAGTTATTAGTGTAATAAATTCTTTCTATTGTGATGACAATAAAAATTCTTAAAGTTCCCTATTTGTAAATTATTTAGTATATTATGCAACAGTTATCGTGAAATTTATATTATACCGTAAAATTGACTGGACATGTTGGCAGCTATGTGGTTTGAATAAAAAAAAAGTTTTTCATTATTTTATTTGAAATCTTCAGTAAAATATTAAATTATCATAACTAATGAAAATTAGTAAATTGTTTAGCATATTTTCATTTCCATACATTTAAATATGTTTTTATTTTTCTAATAGGAGGAAATGTAACTTGTAGAATTTCATATTGACGTTCATTTTGTATCTCAAAAGTAGAGAGAAAATTGTTTTTGTGGTCATTAAAAATAGTTATTTGTAGTGTTTCATTTCTAGCTAATTATTTTGTTTGATTTCTTATCTCATAATAATAATAATTTCATCCATCTGTTGTATTTTAGGAAATGGAGGCAAAGTTCAAAATGTAAGTCAAACAATATTTATTCTTTTTTTTTCTTTCACTCTTTAAAATTAAATGACATATATGTTCTTTTTTAAGTAGTTTTATTTTAAAAAAAGCTGTTTTAAAAAAATGTTTTTAAATCTTAAAAACATTTTGCCAGAAAAGAAAATGCTATAAATAAATATACAAATAAATGCTATAAATATATTATTAAGACAATATCAATGATGTTTAAAAAGCAATTTTGACAAGTCAGCGATTAAATAACATCAAAATAATGATTGTGGCGCATTCTGTTAATGAAAGAAATTGTAATAGAATGTGTTAGAAAAGAAAGATTTTGAAAGTCATTTGTTTCTATCACTATTATTATTCAAATGTGCTTTGCTAAGAAATATTTTATCTTTATTATTTTCTTCCAAAATTATTATTGTTAAATACTGTGAAAGTAAAGTGTTTGATTTGTAATAACTAGTTAATCGCTCCAATTAAGCTCACCAAAAAAAAGAAATTAGTCATCCCTAAATTATAGAAAGCATAATTTAGTACCAATTTAACTGCATCTTTGGACTTGATTTGCAAGATGTGTGAAGACTAAGTGCTAAAATAAAAACACCCTGACTAGATTTTGATCTAATGATCAGATCTTCATATACCAGGGATCAATCTAAATGGTAAATGGGGTTGACCTCAAATATGCTAATTAATTAGTGCCAAGCTATATTAAAAATGAAGTCATATATTTAAAATTTGATTTCTCAGGGACTATTTGACCAATTTGGTTAAACTTTTTCATTCTGCAATATAAAATGATGTAAAAATTTGCATACCCTACCATTAAAAAAATTCTTCGACTATTATTACTATGAGTTGGCAAGGTTTAGGACAGAATGGTTTAATCCACGGTTTAAACTGTCCTGTCCAAAACCCTTTTATTCAAATTATGTCACAATTTAAAAAAAATATTGTGGAAACTAAAAGGTTAATTTTGGAACAATGAAACAAAATGAAGACAAGTTTTCGTTTTATTAAAAAAGTTTATTATTGTTTTTAATATTGCATTATTTATCCTTATTCAAAAAAGTAATTTATTAGTATTAAAAGCATAAGGACTTTAGTAGTTCAGTGAATTGTGGAGCTTCAAAAGTTATAAATATTTTCCTTTAATAAGTTAAAGCAATTTGTATAAAAAATATCAAATATTTGTTAATATATGTAATTATTAATATTATGTGTGCAAAGGTGACACCGATAGAATTTTTACCTTTTACCAAAGTTCATGGTTTTGGACACTTTTAGTCAGTTTAGGACAGATTAAGACAGTAAAGCCCACATGTCCTGTACAAAACCAGTTTAGGGCGTCCAAAAATCCCAACCCTAGTTTAGATAGTTTTTCCTCAATGAAGAGTTCTTTACCTTCATGCTATCGCTGTAGACCACAGTTTTTCTTCATGTATGGATTTCTTCTACTAAAATCATTCAGCTCTGCTCTTCATCTTCCAAACTGATATTTTGAAACATTTTAATAATTTAGTTAATGATCTTTCAAGTATTCCACCAATATTTTGATTTAATCTGTTACACTTTTGGGTTTCCGCTATTTACCCTCTCTCACCTCTTNTCTTACTATAAAATATAAGGTTCTATAGAATTATATTAAAACATACCTTTTGATTTTTTCAAATTTAGGAAGAAGTTCAAAACTAACAAAATATGTCAATAATGAATACAATACTTTATAAATGCATTTCTTAATTTTTTTTTACTGCTACTGTTTTAAAACTGCAGATGTTGCTGATTTAGCATTATTTAAAAAAAAAAACTGGCATCTATAGAAAGTGAAAAAACATTTTGCCTAATGGTGTCCAAGATATCTCCGATTTTGCCATTTCATTGGTTATTTCTGCTGTTTTGGTTCACACTCACCATAATTTTTAGTGATGTTGCTATGGGGCAAAGTTTTTCTAAATAAATGCCCAGTATGGTCTGAAGCACAAGTTGGGAAGGAAATTGCACAAATTGTTGTTTTTTTCCCTCTATCTTGCACTAAATAGAAAAAAGCAGGAGAAAACACCCTGAAGGCCTGAGGGTGAAGATTTGAGGCAAAAGCAGGAGACTCCTGCTAAAAGCAGGAGAGTTGGCAGGTCTGCCGCTGTAGACCACAGTTTTTCTTCATGTATTGATTTCTTCTACTAAAATCATTCAGCTCTGCTCTTCATCTTCCAAACTGGATGTCATTCGATATTTTGAAACATTTTAATAATTTAGTTAGTGATCTTTCAAGTATTCCACCAATATTTTGATTTAATCTGTTACACTTTTGGGTTTCCGCTATTTACCCTCTCTCACCTCTTTCTTTTCTCCCCATTGTTATTTTCTTGTTCTAACTTGTTCCTCTGTCAACTATTGGTTAAACCACTTTGCACATATTTGTTTCTTTACTTCTCTACCTTCATTTGATGTTTAAACGCTGACTAAAGTTCTTGATATATCATTCCTACAAAGCCGCATGTAATTCCAAGTCATAAACTGATTTCATTAGTTTTCAAAGTTGATGTCATTGGTTTATTTTCCTTTGTAAGACTTACTTCCATCAACTCTATAATATTCTGTTTTTTTTTGTTTTTTTTCCTCTCTCAAGAACATGTGTTTTCTTCACTCCAAAAATTAGGAATTAACTTTAGTCATGTGATGAAATAATTATCCTACTCTATTCCTATGAGTGGCACTTTCTGTAAGTGCAGACGATTTTTTTGTTGTTTAAAATGAAATATTTTAAGTCGGTTTAAAAATAAAGTCGCGGTTTAAAAATAAAATCGAAAGGGTTTGCAGTTTAGCAACTTTTTTCGGTGGCAGAATTTCTGCATGTAGAAACTTTAAGCAATTAAAATCTTTTGGGTTTAAATGAACATTTATATGTAGAGAACTGTATGTCGATTATTGGATACTAATAGCTGTAAAGATATCCAGGTCTGTTCATCCTTGCTCAGTTTATATCAAAGTATAGAAATTAAGAGAAATAGATAAAAGAGAGTGAAAGAAATTAAAATTATTAAAAGAAAGATAAAAGTGAAAAGATACGAAGAGATCCACAACGCTATGCTAATAAAATGGTTGCAGAAGAGAACGTAGAACTATGCAATTTACATTAAATGAAGACCTGGTTTTTCGCCCTTGTCTCAAAAGAAAAGTTCAAGGTTTGCACAGAAATTAAAACGATTGCAAAGATGTAAGAACTTGTTGAACCAGCTCAGTAGCAAAAGTGTTGACAGAATAATCTTTTCTGATGAGAAAATATTTTGCACAGAAGAAAATTATAATGCTAAAAATAATGTTGTATGTTCCTTTGATGATATAACTGAAAATGTTCGAACTGTACTACGGTTTCAGAACAACAATTCTTCAATGGTTTGAGTGTCAAATAGCAGTCATTGATGAAGGGTTTAAAATCAATGCTGAATGTTACAAGAGGGCTATACATTCATTGCCACATGCTGACAGATTGTACCCTGAAAAGGATTGGATATTTCGGCAAGAATTTGCATCATTGAACGGAGACAAAACAACTCGGACAAATCAAGCAAGAAGATGGGTCACCTTCATCACTTCATTTTTATCCTCTACATTATTGTGCTTCGCGGATTTTTAAGTTAATGCTAAACAAGCACACTCTCTCAGAGTTTCTTTATTGCTTGAATGGGAAAAATTATTCTTAAAAATGATTTGTGCCATCATCAGACAATGGAGTGAGAGTATCTTTAGTAATCGATTCGAATAAAGGTAAACTTTCATTTATAGTGTTTATCCTATTCTGTTTTCTATTTAATATCTGTACAATAAATTGTTTCGATACTTGTTATAGTAGTTTATAGAAGTAGAAATCATGATGAATAAAACTACACTAGAAATTTTTTTTTTTTAAATGAAAAAATTACAACTCAAATTTTCTTGCCAAAACAATTAGTTTCACCTATTAACAAATTTTTTTTAAAAATTACATAAAGAACCGTATATTATTGAAATTGACATCGTATATTGACTTAGCATATTATTAAAATGGGGGGGGGGGATGCACTAGTATTCGGNAAACCATGATGAATAAAACTACACTAGAAAATTTTTTTTTTTAAATGAAAAAATTACAACTCAAATTTTCTTGCCAAAACAATTAGTTTCACCTATTAACAAAATTTTTTTAAAAAATTACATAAAGAACCATATATTATTGAAATTGACGTCGTATATTGACTTAGCATATTATTAAAATTGGGGGGGGGGAATGCACTAGTATTCGGAACAGGCTTATGTTAACAAAAGTATTCAGATGAACGAGTTCCTGACTATCAAAGTTTTCCTGTATATTTAAAATAAATATATGTTTAAATTCTGATTTGTAGAGATCATTCCAGTTTAAGTTAACAGCACTGATAAAACTAACTATATATAGTTATAACTGATAAAACTTGGTTAGGAATTATTTTCTACACAAAAATATTTCACGTTATGTGTCAAAATATAATATGTATCTATTTGTTAACTACGAAAAATTGGAAGAAACAAAAAGTAGCTAGAACGAAATACTAGGCTAGGATATGAAAAAAGTTTACTTTTAGTACTTTGTTTCTTTCTTTCTCCTATTAAAAAAGAAAATCTCAAAATATTTGGAGGGAAGAAGAGTCCAGCCTTCCTAATATTTTTCTATGAAACAATGAAGCAGTTCAAACATTTTGTTCGTGAAGTCTGAAAAAAGAGTTATAAAGTAAATTTCAGCACTTACAAAAAACATATATCAGGGATTTTGCCTACGATATTTCTGATTTTTGTGTGGGTTTTCTTTCAATACAAATGTGAATTTTCAGAGAGATTTGGATTTTTGGTCTTTCATTAATAATGCTAGGAAAAAAAAAGAAGAAAAAAAACCAAAGTTCAATAGTTTGAACGCAGTAAATTTTACACTGTCCAATTTTTATGACCCATTCATTTTTTTCAGCAAACAAATCTTGTACGATTGAGTTTTACAG